ACTGCATGGGCACCTTTATTAACTTCCTGCAGAAGTGGTACCTATTGATCTACTCACATTTGCGTGTTTTCGAATTGCTAGGTTGGCAGAAAATACGGCAAACAGTTGGGAGCTCACCCCAACCTGCAGCTTCGAACTGCTAACCTTTAGGTATGCAGATTCAAAGTTCAATGGTTTAACCCGTTGCACCGCCGCAGCCAATGAACACTATATACTACTTCTAAAGGTGCATCTACATTGCAGTATTAGTGCAGCTTGGCACCTCTTTAATTGCTATGGCTCAGTGTATGGAATTCTAGGAGTTGTAGTTTTGCAAGATGTTTAGACTTCTCTGACAAATGTTGCTGGTGCCTCACCAAAACACAACTCCCAACCATATTTGTTAAAGTGGTGTCAAACCGCATTGCCTCTACAGTGTGAATGCACACTGAGAACGTTTTCTATAAAACTTTAAAGCACAAATATAGAAGACCAATTCTGTGACTAGCTACAACCTTAAGTCAGCAAACATGGAAATGTACCAAGTCTAAGCAGAAATTCCAACGTTGACCCAACTGAGGCAACTCTTTCCCATGAATCAATATAAGGCATTTCCAGATCCCAAAACTGAAAGGAAAGCATTTCTCTACAAAGCATATATATACTTGATGACACCATTGTACTTTATTTTGTACAATCGTCACAAGAAAGGTTGGAAATCAAATGTGTACTTCACCTTCCTCTTCTCAATTTTAGTTGTTTCTTTTTATTTCCGTACTAGCTTGGATACTCGGCGTTATTTGAAAAACTCATTTTAAATTTTTTACAAAATGCATAAGGCTGTCGGTGAACTACAACTCCCATCATGCCAGGTTAACCCCCTGAAACTCCATTAGTAGTTAAAGTTTGTCATGTTGGGCAAGTTTGGTCTAGATGCATCATTGGTGGGGTTCAGTGTGCTCTCTGGCTGCAGGATAAACTACAGCTCCCACCATGGTGGGCCAGTCCCCTTAAATCCCTCCAGTAGGTTCAGTTGGTCATGGGGGATCTGTATGCCAAGTTTGGTCCAGATCCATCATCGGTGGTGGTCACAGTGTTTCTGAATGTAAGTGAACTACAACTTCCGGAAATGAAGGTGAGTTCCCTCCCAAACCTTTCCAGGCTTTTTCCTTTTTCTTTGGTCATGGGGGTTCTGTGTGCCAAGTTAACTTCAGGGTCATCATTGGAAGGGTCAAGAATACTCTTTGATTGCAGATGAACTATAAATCCCAGCACCTACAATGGCTATAAATCAAGGTGAACTCCTTCAAAATCTCTCCAGTATTTTTCTTTGGTCAAGGGGGTTCTGTGTGCAAAATGTGGTCCAGGTCCATTGTCAGTAGGTGCTACAGTGCTCTGACTACAACTTCCATCATGTGGAGTCAATCCCCCAAACTCCTCCAGTATGTTAAGGGTTAAGGGAGAGGCAGCGGGCAGGATCATGCAAATTCCACACCAATGCAGGGAGTAATAAAAAACTGGGATGTCTGTGGTGGAGGAAACACGTAAAATCTAGGATGAAATTGTCCCCGAATGAAAGCAGTATGGTGCTTGGGGAGGACATTGTCAAGAGTGGGCTACATGTTCATGGCGCTCACTATATCCTGAAATGTCACCGGAGGGAGGGCTTTTGGTGGCTTGTCAGCACTGTGGATTAAAGCTGTTTGTGGAAGTGGGTGCATGTCTGTGGAAGTGGGTGCCCTACTCACATACACACACATATATTTTCACTTATATGATATACAGTATTCATAGAATCATAGAATCAAAGAGTTGGAAGAGACCTCATGGGCCATCCAGTCCAACCCCATTCTGCCAAGAAGCAGGAATATTGCTTTCAAATCACCCCTGACAGATGGCCATCCAGCCTCTGCTTAAAAGCCTCCAGAGAAGCCTCCACCACAATACGGGGCAGAGAGTTCCATTGCTGAACAGCTCTCACAGTTAGAAAGTTTTTCCTAATGTTCAGGTGGAATCTCCTTTCTTGTAGTTTGAAGCCATTGTTCTGCGTCCTAGTCTCCAGGGAAGCAGAAAACAAGCTTGCTCCCTCCTCCCTGTGGCTTCCTCTCACATATTTATACATGGCTATCATGTCTCCTCTCAGCCTTCTCTTCTTCAGGCTAAACATGCCCAGCTCCTTAAGCCGCTCCTCATAGGGCTTGTTCTCCAGACCCTTGATCATTTTAGTCGCCCTCCTCTGGACACATTCCAGCTTGTTAATATCTCTCTTGAATTGTGGTGCCCAGAATTGGACACAATATTCCAGGTGTGGTGTAATGAAGGAGGAATAGAGGGGTAGCATGACTTCCCTAGATCTAGACACTATGTTCCTATTGATGCAGGCCAAAATCCCATTGGCTTTTTTTGCCACCACATCACATTGTTGGCTCATGTTTAACTTGTTGTCCACGAGGACTCCAAGATCTTTTTCACACGTACTGCTCTCGAGCCAGGCATTGTCCCCCATTCTGTATCTTTGCATTTCGTTTTTTTCTGCCTAAGTGGAGTATCTTGAATTTGTCACTGTTGAACTTCATTTTGTTAGTTTTGGCCCATCTCTCTAATCTGTCAAGATCGTTTTGAATCCTGCTCCTGTCCTCTGGAGTATTGGCTCTCCCTCCCAATTTGGTGTCATCTGCAAACTTGATGATCCTGCCTTCTAGCCCTTCATCTAAGTCATTAATAAAGATGTTGAACAGGACCGGGCCCAGGACGGAACCCTGCGGCACTCCACTAGTCACTTCTTTCCAAGATGAAGAGGAAGCATTGGAGAATCACCCTCTGGGTTCGTCCATTTAACCAATTACAGATCCACCTCACCGTAGTTTTGCCTAGCCCACATTGGACTAGTTTGTTTGCCAGAAGGTCATGGGGGACCTATCTTAGAAGATTGACCTTAGGTTGTTGTCGTTCTTAATTGTTGTCTATTTTTATTGTGTATCAAAACTTTTAATAACATTCTCAAAATTTGGGAGGGGGTTCAAGTATAAATGCATCACTCTCGATGGTTTATACTTGTGTAAAGTGTATTCCCTATCTCAGCCTCTACCAACATGATGAAGATGTGTTGGACAGCAAAACCCATCTGGCTATGAGATAATGGGAATTGTAGTCTGAACCATCTAGGAAGCACCAGGCTGGGAAAGGTGGTATTACTAAATGGTTTGCTATTATTTAAAAAATTAGAAGCCTACAACTCATTGCCCTTCTGCAGAGTTCTCACATCTCTTCCTAAGACTAAGCTGTGATGCCTTCATACTGATAAGGTCAAACTAAAATATTAGCTCCGGGGCAGAATTAGGGAAATGGCCATGAAAAGGTCACCCAAGTGGGAAGTCTGAACCCACTCATCTGCATCTTCATTGCCACAGGAAGAAAAGAATAAGCCAAGAGAAGGTCACTGAAGCAGAACCACGAGGCAATGCATTCGTGCTACGTACGACTTACTATGAAAGATCACATTGTGGTACTTTTGTTCAAGCGAAGTCTACATCCCCTTTTTTTGGAGATGCAGCAAAATGTAGTGCAGGCATGTGCAAACTTTGGCCCTCCGGGTGTTCTGGACTTCAACTCCCACAATTCCTAACAGCCTACTGGCTGTTAGGAATTGTAGGAGTTGAAATCCAAAACACCCGGAGGGCCGAAGTTTGCCCATGCCTAATGTAATTGTTTGAATGTTTGGCTGACACTCTAGGACAGTGTTTCTCAACCTTCCTAATGCCGCGACCCCTTAGTACAGGTCCTCATGTTGTGGTGACCCCCAACCATAATGTTATTTTCGTTGCTACTTCACAACTGTAATTTTGCTATTGTTATAAGAATCGTAATGTAAATATCTTATATGCAGGATGTATTTTCAGTCACTGGAACAAATTTGGCACAAATACCCAGTACACCCAGATTTGAATACTGGCAAGGTTGGGGGTGATTGATTTTGTCATTTGGTAATGCTGGAGTTGCTGGGATTTATAGTTCACCTAAAATCAAAGAACCTTCTGAACTCCGCCAGTGATGGAATTGAATCAAACTTGGCACACAGAATTCCCATGACCAAGAGAAAATACTGGGAAGGTCTGGTGGATACTGTCCTTGAGTTTTTTGGAGTTGTAGTTCACCTACTTCCAGAGAACACTGTGGACTGAAGCAATGATTGATCTGGATCAAACTTGACACAAATACTCAATATGCCCAAATATGAACACTGGTAGAGTTTGGAGAAAATAGACCTTGCCATTTGGGAGTTGTAATTGTTGGGATTTATAGTTCACCCACAATGAAATAACATTCTGAACCCCACTGAAAGAATTGGACCAAACTTTCCACACAGAACCCCCATGATCAACAGAAAATACTATGTTTTCTGATGGTCTTTGGTGACCCCTCTAACACTCCCTCGCAACCCCCAGGTTGAGAAACACTGCTCTAGGATTATTTCATCCTTCCCTGAGCTCAGCTTCTCCATCTGCATGCACCACACTGGGTTTCCTCCTGGGACACAGAGAGCAACCACTCCCTGCTGCTTTTGCAAGGAAATGCTTAGCTGACCTCTTCCAGTGCTTTCCCTTGACCTGCAATGGCTGCATGCGGTCACCGATTATACCCGCTCCCTACTGAGCAGAAGCAAAAGGCTAATCATCTTACCCGAAACCATTGAAGTTAGCCATGACACTAGGTAAACTTGGGTTATGCGAGGTTAAGAACTCCGTGATCAAAGAGCTGGAGGGGGAGACGGGATGGTGTTTCTATATGTCATCTCTAAGAGAACCAATTACATAAACCAGTCAGAGATGGATTGTGAATGAACTGGCATGAGATGCCATGTAAGAGAAAATCAAGGGATGGTCTTTATAAAAGCGAGAGTGTTCCAGGCTCCTGGTGAAGGTAAACACCATCCTAAATATATTATGGAGTTGGAAGGTTTGCAACAGTCGGAGTTTCAACATTTCTTACCATCTGGGATGCTGAATGTACTGTGTACTTACTTTGAGTAGCCACGTGAGCACGGAGTCGCGGTATGGGACAAATTTGTTCTTGTTTTTGCCAGCAGCCTGATCCGCAAGAGCAGAAATGACCAATCCCAGAGTTGTGAGGGACCTGCGTGGGAAAACGTTTTGAAACATTATGACCCACAAATATGGTTTCACACAAGTTGAGCAGCACCTGAACCTTCTTACATCTAATAGGAAGATTTGAGGTGCATTGATATGGGTCACAGCCATGTCACTGGTATCTGGGCTTTTGTGGGCGAAACCAGTGTGGATCAAACCTTACCATGGATAGACACAGAGTGAACTAAACAATCATCACATGAAGACTAAGCACTTATGGAAGCTGGAACTAGAAGAGAAAATAATCTTGGGGAAAAGAGAATCAGAACTTGGGGAAATTTTGTTTTTGGACATGTAACAAAATTTGAAAAAATGAAATGGTTTGAAAGGGTTCCGTCCTGGGCCGGTCCTGTTCAATATCTTTATTAATGACTTAGATAAAGGCCTAGAAGGCATGATCATCAAGTTTGCAGACGACACCAAATTGGGAGGGAGAGCCAAGACTCCAGAGGACAGGAACAGGATTCAAAACGATCTTAACAGATTAGAGAGATGGGCCAAAACTAAAATAATGAAGTTCAACAGTGACAAATGCAAGATACTCCACTTTGGCAGGAAAAACGAAATGCAAAGATACAGAATGGGGGACGATGCCTGGCTCGAGAGCAGTACGTGTGAAAAAGATCTTGGAGTCCTCTTGTACAACAAGTTAAACATGAACCAGGAATGTGATGTGGCGGCAAAAAAAGCCAATGGGATTTTGGCCTGCATCAATAGGAGCATAGTGTCTAGATCTAGGGAAGTAATGCTACCCCTCTATTCCACTTTGGTTAGACCACACCTGGAATATTGTGTCCAATTCTGGGCACCAACATTCAAGAGAGATATTGACAAGCTGGAATGTGTCCAGAGGAGGGCAACTAAAATGATCAAGGGTCTGGAGAACAAGCCCTATGAGGAGCGGCTTAAGGAGCTGGGCATGTTTAACCTGAAGAAGACAAGGCTGAGAGGAGATATGACAGCCATGTATAAATATGTGAGAGGAAACCACAGGGAGGAGAGAGCAAGCTTGTTTTCTGCTTCCCCGGAGACCAGGACGTGAAACAATGGCTTCAAACTACAAAAAATGAGATTCCACCTGAACATGAGTAAGAACTTCCTGACTGTGAGAGCCGTTCAGCAGTGAAACTCTCTGCCCCGGAGTGTGGTGGAGGCTCCTTCTTTGGAAGCTTTTAAACAGAGGCTGGATGGCCATCTGTCAGGGGAGATTTGAATGCAATATTCCTGCTTCTTGGCAGGGTGTTGGACTGGATGGCCCATGAGGTCTCTTCCAACTCTTTGATTCTATGATTCTAAGTGTTATTTCCTGTTTAATTGCATGGTACTTACTTTGAAAGTAGTGTTCCCTCGCTACTTTGCGGTTTGCTTTACGCGGACTCCCTTTTTCGCGGATTCTTTTGGGGAACTACTAATATAAAATATTTACTTTACAACAGGTCTCAAAAACGGTGGCTGGTATGTGAGCTGGGACCTCCTCCGCTGGCTTCGCTTGCCCTCCTGCGACTTGAAGCGCTTGTACGGCTCATCCTCCCGGCCCATGCTGAGGGCACTTGCCTGCCTCCTTGGCTTCTGTGGGCCCTGACAGAGCAGCTGCCTGAGGCGTGGTGGGGAAGGCCTGCCTCCCTGGCCTGTTAATGCCCGTGTGGCTCTGGAGGCAGGTAAGGAAGTGCGAGGGTTAGCTGCACATGTGTGCTTCTTATACATATGCTAAATTAATGTATAAATATTAAAATTAATATGGCATTCCTACTTCATGGATTTTCACTTATTGGGGGTGATCCTGGAAAAAACTTGTTACATAGTGTTATCAATCGCTATACCATTCTGGCTCTCTAGTATCCGCTAGCCAACAACAACAACAATAGTTAGTAGCCAGCTGTATTAAATCACTACCGACCGAGAAGTCATGAGTTCGAAGCCAGCCCGGGTCGGAGTAAGCTCCCGACCATTAATAATCTAACTTAAGCAGCCTGAAAGATGGTTGCATCTGTCAAGTAGGAAATTTAGATACTGTTTTATGTGGGGAGGCTAATTTAACTAATTTACGACGCCATAAAACCATCCATTAGTGTGCATAAGAATGAAGAAGTACTCCATCAAAGGACTTGGTGTCACAAGTGGACGGTGAAGCAGCAGCTCCCCCTGTGGCCGGTATCGAGCATACCTTCATGAAGCCGGAAAAGGCTGGAATGTTAAATTGCCTCTGTGTCTGTCTATATATCTTGTATGCCTAAGTGGCATTGAATGTTTGCCATGTATATGTGCATTGTATTCTGCCTTGAGTCCCCTGTAGGGTGAAAAGGGCGGAATATAAATACTGTAAATTAATAAATAAATTTATAACCCATCTTATCTCCCCGAGGGGACTCAGGGCAGTTTACAACAACAATAACACAATGGCAACTATTCAATGCCAAAAAAACAACAACAAAAAAACCAAAAAAAAAATAGACAAAGCAACCAATCAAATCCAAACAATGGATAAAACAATCTCAATATGAACTTATAAAACTTGTAAAAGTAACAAGGGTACTGGGAGATATAGTACAAATTTTATATTTCCCTTGTTCTGGGTTGTTTTGTTCTGAATCCAACCCCTTTTTGCTGCCGATTTCTGATATTGACATAAGTGCAACTATAAGGTTGCCAGCTTTTGAAAGAAATATGAAAGCACAGCAAAAGAAAATATGCAAGAAACAGGGATCAAGTGAGTGGGGAAATCTAGAGAAATCCAGGTACAGTTTTCTTCTTTTCCTCCAGATCTCAAGGTAGCACAACTCTCCTTCCTTGCTCTATTTTCGATTTGTGGGGAACCTCATGAATGAATGAGTGAGTTGAGTGAGTGCTGAGATACATGCATCCTGTTTGCTATTCAACTGTTTCAAGACACTGAGTTCCTTCCTCACAAAGCCTTACTTGTTGATGTTGCTCCCCTCCTTCAGCCTGTCCCCCGCGGCACCGGTCTTGGTTGCCCTTTCGCTGCCGGCTAAGTCCACGAGGCTGAGCTTGCCCACTTTCTCACCCGATGTCTGTGAAAACAAAAAGAAGAGTTAGACTCTTAACATCCTCTTTGCTGTGGGGGTTTCTAAATAGAGGCAAGATGTCCATCTGTCAGGAGGGCTTGGATTGTGTCTTCCTGCCCAGCAGATGGGGTTGGACTGGATGGCCCGTGGGGTCTCTTCCAACTCTAGACCTCTATCAAAGAGGAGTTCAGCCCCTACCATGAATTCCTTGAAAGTTTGGATTTAAACACACAGCAGACCATCATTTTTTTATTATATACAAGCCGTCCCCTGCCACGCGTTGCTGTGGCCCACGTGGGGGTTCTGTGTGGGAGGTTTGGCCCAATTCTATCGTTGGTGGGGTTCAGAATGCTCTGTGATTGTAAGTGAACTATAAATCCCAGCAACTACAACTCCCAAATGTCAAGATTCTATTTTCCCTAAACTCCACCAGTGTTCACATTTGGGCATATTGAGTATTTGTGCCGTGTTTGGTCCAGATCCATCATTGTTTGAGCCCACAGTGCTCTCTGGATGTAGGTGAACTACAACTCCAAAACCAAAGGACACTGCCCACCAAACCCATCCAGTGTTTTCTGTTGGTCATGGGAGAACTGTGTGCCAAGTTTGGTTCAATTGCATCGTTGGTGGGGTTCAGAATGCTCTTTGATTGTAGGTGAACTATAAATCCCAGCAACTACCACCCCCAAATGACAAAATCAATTTCTTTGAGTGAAGGACATACATTGGGTTGTTAGGTGTCTTGTGTCCAAATTTGGTGTCAATTTGCCCAGTGGTTTTTGAGTTCTGTTAATCCCACAAACCAACATTACATTTTTATTTATATAGTCTCATGATTCTGAAATACAAAATGAATTCCTTTGCAATTACTGCATACGCTTGAGTATAAGCCTAGTTCTTCAGCCCCCTTTTTAGGCTGAAAAGCTCCCCTCGGCTTATACTTGAGTCAAAGTTATTTATTATTTTACTCTGTTATTAGTATTATTTTTATTTCATGTATTATTTTACTCTCTTTATTATAATTACATTTACAGTATTTACCTTTATTATTCTTATTATTATTATTATTATTATTATTATTACATGTATTATTTTACTTTATTATTATTGCATTTCCATTATTTTACTTTATTATTATTATTATTATTACTATTATTATTACATTTATTATTTTACTCTATTATTGTTGGAAGGATACGTAAGTACATTTGAAGAAGGTTATAATAATAATTTAATCAGAGTTGGGCAGTCTTATCTCAAATTACAATTTTTTGTAAATATTCACAAACATTTCACCTCCTGATGCCTCAATACATTTGCCCAGTTTTTTGTGATTGTTGGGAATCAGCCTGTGTTTGTGTTTCAGGACCCTGATGTGGGAAATGATGAGGGAAATGATGTTGCCGAGGCTGAGGTACAAGATGGAGATGGTTTGGTCAATGATTTTCATAGAGACAATGACAGAGAGGCCCCAGTGCAAAGGGCAGTTTCTCATGAGAATATCCCTGGGCCTAGCAATGATAATTCACTCCCTCTCTCTGTGAGCTCTCAAGATTTGGGTTTGGAAAACAATCTGACACCTGGAACTTTAATGAGCAGCCAGAGCAGCCAGATAAGGAGCTGAAGAATAGGCGGCTGAAGATTCGCCAGGATAGGCAACAATTTCAGTATTTACATCACTCCGAAAGGCTGCGTCTGATAAAGGGAAAATGTAGGGTGTAGAGGGAAACAAAGCCAATTTCTGAGTTTTGGGATATAAAGTTTGCTTCAAGGGAAAACCTGTCAGATCAGGCATCGTTTGGAAATCAAGTTTTTGCACCATGGAAATCTTGTTCAAGGGTTCTTGTTTCTGCGGAGGTTTTTATTTATTTATTTATTTATTTATTTATTTATTTACTATTCTTGTATACCGCTGTATCTCAAGCCTGAGGGCGACTCACAGCGGTTTCCAAACAGCAAAAACAATAAAAACAGCAATAATCCACATACAAAACAGTTAAATTACAACAGTTCCATTAATAGCTAATAAACCATCAACAATACACAATTATCACAAATCCCATCCCCCGATCGCCTCATCATCCAAACGTGATCCAAATTCGTCGTCATTGTTCCGTTCCTATGTTCACATTACCACACTTGCATTGAATTACTCAAACGCCTGCACAAACATCCAGGTCTTGAGCTTTCTACGGAATGTCATGAGCGATGGTGCCAGCCTAACGTCTACAGGAAGGGCGTTTCACAGCCGGGGAGCCACCACCGAGAAGGCCCTATCCCTCGTCCCCGCCAACCGTGCTTGAGAGGTCGGCGGGATCGAGAGCAGGGCCTCCCCGGAAGATCTCAAAGTCCGGGTGGGTTCATAGGCCGAGATGCAGTCAGATAGGTATCTTGGGCCGGAACCGTTTAGGTTTAGGTTTTTAGCCTTTTGGATTGTCCTTGCATCCTGCTTGATTCCTGTCTGGATTAATGCTGTCTTGAAATGCCTGTATTTCTTTGTGTTTTGTTTGTTTGTTTGTTAAAAATGCAATACAACTGTTTGGTTTGCACCTGACATGATAAATAAATATTGTGTGGACAGTAGCTTTGGGTTACTACTGTTTATGGACTAATACCTTTTTGAACCTTCTGATTTTTTTACAAGCATTTATTTCTTCTGGCTATTTACTAAGCTTCAATAAAAGAAGATTTGTTTCTTCACTCTTCGTGTGGTGTGTTTTAAGTCAGAGGGCTTCTTCTTTTATCAGTGCAACACTGATAAAATTAGGTGCCTCGGCTTATATTCGGGCCGGCTTATACTCGAGTATATACGGTATTTGATCTAATATTGTATTGATCTTTTCCAAGTGGATCTCTGAGTCAGTGGAAGATGTCTTTCCCCCCTCATTAGCTTTATTTACATAACAAATGAATGAGAACCATGTTACCTCAAAGATATTACAATCTTGACTGTTCTTTTGCCTATCTTACTTGTCATGTAAGTCTTTCCAGATTCCAAATCCTTTTATGCCACAGGTCTAAACTACGTGCCGTAGGATTTTTCCAATGATCTACTTGTCTGCTTTATTTTACTTGTTTTGTATCAAAAGCATTGCATAAATAATATAAAACAGATAGAATGAAAGGATCACAAGTAGATAAATAGGATCTCTACATTGGAGAATTAATCCAGTTTGGCACCACGTTAACTGCTATGGTTCAATGCTATGGAATCTTGGGAGCTGTAGTTTAGTGAGGCACGAGGATCTTGGAAGATTCCAACTCGCATGATTCTAGAGCACTGAGTCAATGTGGTGTAAAACCTGCAATAATTCTATAGTGTGGGTGCACCCAGGTTAAACATGAACATGATCACGAACTGCAATGTTGGAGTGGAAAAACACAACAGTCAGGCTCCGTTTTTCCCCCCTGGGGGCACGGCCTCAACTACCTTACAAGGAGCAGGTGTGGTTATGTGTAACAACACAAGAATGTGTGCATAGTAGAGATGTGTCAGCATTATCTGGCAGATACCAGGAGATTAAAGGTCTCTGCGGCCTTGTTTTCCTTTGAGCCAATGCAGCATGACCTTCCTTCCTTCCACTGCCAAAACCTTTGTATGCTCATCAGTGTTTTATACTTTGCAGCCAGGATGGTATAAAAGTGTGTAGAGACAACTTCCCCATTAATTCCAGGTTAGCTATAGTCAATACCTCCCCAAAGCAAGCCTGAATGACTTTCTAGTTTAATGAATACTAGCCATCCCCTGCCACGCATTGCTGTGGCCCAGTCTGGTGATCTAGAAAATAAAGGAATCAGAAAGTGTTGGTTTCTAATATATGTAATTTCTCGATGCTTGTGGGTAAACAGTTCATGGGGTTCAGAATGCTCTCTGTTTGTAGGTGAACTGTAAATCCCAGTAACTACAACTCCCAAATGTCAAGGTTTTTTCCCCCTAAACTCTATCTGTGTTCATATTTGGGCATATTGAGTATTCCTGTCAAGTTTGGTCCAGATCCACCATTGTTTGAATCCACAGTGCTCTCTAGATATAGGTGAACTACAACTACAATTGAACTACAATTCAGAATGCTCTTTGATTGTAGGTGAACTATAAATCCCAGCAATGACAACTCCCAAATGTCAAGGTCTATTTTCCCAAAGCTCCACCAGTGTTCACATTTGGAGCTATTGAGTATTCGTGCCAAGTTTGGTCCAGATCCATCATTGTTTGAATCCACAGTGCTCTCTGGATGTAGGTGAACTACAACTCCCAAAGTCAAGGTCAATGCCCAACAAACCCTTCTAGTGTTTTCTGTTAGTCATGGGACTCCTATGTGCCACGTTTTAGTTCACTTCTATCATTGGTGGAATTCAGAATGCTCTTTGATTGTAGGTGAACTATAAATCCCAGGATGACAACTCCCAAATGTCAAGGTCTATTTTTCCCAAGCTCCACCAGTGTTCACATTTGGAGCTATTGAGTATCCGTGCCAAGTCTGGTCTAGATCTATCATTGTTTGAATCCACAGTGCTCTCTGGATATAGGTGAACTACAACTCCCAAAGTCAAGGTCAATGCCCACCAAACTCTTCTAGTGTTTTCTGTTGGTCATGGGAGTCCTGTGTGCCACGTTTAGTTCAATTCCATCATTGGTGGAGTTCAAAATGCTCTTTAATTGTAGGGGAACTATACATCCCAGCAACTACAACTCCCAAATGACAAAATCAATTTTTTGAGTCAGTCCTCCCTCCCTCCAGCCTTGAAGGGCCTTTCCTTCACTTTATTTTAAGTTTATAAAGACTTAAAATAGTGTATAACTACTAAAATAATGTATAAATATTAAAATAAATATAGTGTCCCTACATCACAGTTTCTTTCTATGGCACACAGCAAACAGGGGAATTGATCAGCAATTAAAATACTAGAGAGATTTGGGGAGAATTCACCATGATTTATAGGAGTTATAAGTTCTAAGTTATATAGTTCACCTGCAATCTAAGAACTAGACTCCGAACTCCATCAAG